ATAGCAATACCAGTACATTTTGACCAATCTTCGTAAAAATAGCAGAATTGGTTGTGTGCCTTGTATACCTTACAATGTGGGGACTAAATGTCCCCACAAGTATAGCAATACTAGTAGATTTTGACCAATCTTCGTAAAAATAGCTGAATGTGTGTGTGTATGTGTGCCTTGTATACCTTACGATGTGGGGACTAAATGCCCCCACAAGTATAGTGATACCTGTAAATGTTGGACTAGAACTCATAAAGATAGTAGAGCGTGTGTGTGTGTGTGTGTGTGCGTGTGTGCTCGTGTGTGCGCGTGTGTGAACGCGAGCATTTGTTTGTGTGCACCTTCTATTCCTTACATTGTGGGGACCAAATGTCTTTACAAAGTATAGCAGTACCGGTAAATTATAACCTTGTGGGGACATTTTTTCATCATTATGTGTGTGTGTTTTGGGGCCTTGTATACCTTACAATGTGGGGACCAAATGCCCTCACAAGTATAGCAATACCTGTAAATTTTGCTGTCTTCATAAAGATAGCAGTGTGTGTGTGAGAGTATTATCTACATGCACATCGTAATCGTTGTTTTTTTTACTAATTATTATGAGCATGTTCAGATCTTGAGCGCTGAGTAAAATGAGCAGTTTCTACACAATATGTATATTGCAACAACAGTCATTAACAGTATTTTTTCCTCTCCCACACACACACACACACACACACACACATGCACACAAGCAGCAGGAGAAATGTTAGCCGTCACTCAGAGTTAATGAAGTTCATAGTAGTGTGTCTGTGCGTGTGTGTGGATCTCATGTGGTTGCTCTTATACTGCTTTCCCGAAGGTGGAAGTGATTTCTGCAGCTCTCCAGCAAATCTGGCAGTGATTTTGCAGCTTTGCTTTGTGTTTGAGGAGGTTTTTCTGCTGTGTGTTTGTGTGTAAACCCACCTGTGCTGTCAAAGCAGGCCTGCGAACAGCTCTGTCAGTCTGAAGAGCGTTAATTGCTTATATGCACAATTATTAGGACTCTGCTTGTGTTGTTTTTGAATGGATCTGGAACAGTTTTGTGTGTGTGTATGCAAATTATGCAATTAATATTTTGTTAAATAAGGGTAAAAATACAAAAAGATGATTCATAATATATATATATATATAAAAAAGTATTATATAATTAGTATTAGTTACGTTACATACCGGCCACTTTATTAGGTACACCTGTCAGCTAAGAACTGAGGCTACAATTCACACAGACTCACCAAAACTGGACAATAGAAGATTGGAGAAACGTTGCTGCTCTGATGAGTCTCCATTTCTGCTGACACATTCGGCTGCTCGGCTCACAATTTGGCCTCAACAACATGAAAGCATGGATCATCCTGCCTTGTATCAGCGGTTCAGGCTGGTGGTGGTGGTGTAATGGTGTGGGGGAGATTTTCTTTGGGTCCATTAGTACCAATTGAGCATCAACGCCACAGCCTACCTGAGTATTGCTGCTGACCATGTCCATCCCTTTATGAGCACAGTGTCTCCATCTTCTGATGGCTACTTCCAGCAGGATAACGCAGCATGTCATAAAGCTCAATCATCTCAGACTGGTGAACATGACAATGAGTTCACTGTACTCAAATGGCCTCCACAGTTACCAGAGCTCAATCCAATAGAGCAGCTTTGGGATGTGGTGGAACGGGAGATTGGCATCATGGATGTACAAATCTGCAGCAACTGTGTGATGCTATCATGCCAATATGGAGCAAAATCTCTGAGGAAGATTTCCAGTATCTTGTTGAATCTCTGCCACCGAGGATTAAGGCAGGTCTGAAGGCAAAAGTGGGTCCAACCCGGTACTAGTAAGGTGTACCTAATAAAGTGGCCGGTGTATGTAACTAAGGATCCACAGAGCCATGATTTGTTAAATGAATCTCTGAAAAGCTGCTTTATGGTTAGTGTTTAGCTGTTCAGATTAATAATAGTTTCGTTTCTTCAACCGGGAACAACAGGAGACGTGCATTTACCATGTTTCATTACTCCCGGCTGTAAATCTACATGAAAATAATTGAAATTGATTTTACACTTTATCCTCGGTCTGTTGTTGCTCATGTCACCATCATGTTGTCCGTCTACTTTATAGCGTTTCCCTCCATAATATGCAGTCATGGTGTTTTTAAAGAGCAGCTAAAACAGATTTATTCATCAGGCAAATTTATAACACGTCAGGCAAAGCGTAAATAATGTAAATAAATGGCGAATAACATTGCCTCCTGTATGTTTTATGCACTGCTCACGTCATATTTGTAATGCTTCACTTCCTGGTACTAATATATAATTGTTAATTGTTAGTAAAAATCATGTTTTGGTTGCTTTATTAAGACATCTTGAAAACTGTGACATTTAATAATCACTGATTTACACAGATGTGTATTTCATTTAAAGAAGAAGGTTGCTGTTAAATAGATGGTTTTCTAGTTTGCCTAAATAATGCTGATAAGTTAGATCATGTGTACCTGCACTACCTTAAAGTCTTGTCATGGATCTCAGTTGTAAGAGCAACACATAATAACTTGACTTCCAGTTGATCATTTGGAAAAGTGTCAGAAGGTGGATTTCTCTGATGGATCATCTGTTGATCTGCATCCCAATCACCACAAATACTGCAGAAGACCAACTGGAACCAGCATGGACCAAGATTCTCACTGAAATCAGTCAAGTTTGGTGAAGGAGACATCATGGTTTGGGGTTACACTCAGTATGCGAGAGATCTGCAGAGTGGATGATCAACATCAACAGCCTGAGGTATCAAGACATCTGTGCTGCCCATTACATTACAAACCACAGGAGAGGGACAATTCTCCAGCAGGATAGCGCTCCTTCTCATACTTCAGCCTCCACATCAAAGCTCCTGAAAGCAATGAGTGCTCCAGGATTGGCCAGCCTTGTCACCAGACATCAACATTATTAAGCATGTCTGGGGTAAGATGAAGGAGGAGGCGTTGAAGATGAACACAAAGGATCTTGATGAACTCTGGGATTGCCGTTCCAGAGGACTTTATTAATCAGTGATGTGAGTCATGTCAGAGATGTATGGATGCAGTCCTCCAAGCTCATGATGGAGTCAGACACAATATTCATTCTGTCTCCACTGCAGCAGGACTTTATATTCTATACTGGACATTATTTCTGTTCAGTGATGACACTTTAGTTTAAGCAAAGTCAGACTTTACTGTCCTAATGAAATCATTAATAATCAAGACATGATCAGATTTTATTGTGCTCAAATAAGCAAAATCTAGAGGCCTTCGCCTTTCATAGAGACACTTCTGACACCAAATGATCAACTAGAAGATGAGTTAATATTTAGTGTTCCTAAAAATTGGATAGGCGACAAGACTTTTGTTAGCTAGTGTAAGGGTTTTTAAACTGTGGGTCGCACTATGTGGAAAGGTGGGTCGCACAGCGTCACTTAGCTGCAGCTATATTTACATTGCAGTGAATCAAAACCAGTACGATAATTAGCGAATGATTCTTTAGAGATGATTCTGTTTTTCAAATGAATCATTTAGGTTATAAAGCATGAGCTGAAACAGTCTGAATCACCATTCATTGAATGACTGAGTCAGATTAATTTGTGTTGAACTGTCGCGTGTGTACGTCAGTAGCGTGCAGCATTCATGTTTGGGAAAATGGAAAAGTTTTTAAAACTAAAGGCGCCGCAGACCTCTGATATGTCTTCAGATCAAACCAAAACTAAAAAGGAGCCACACAGAAAATTTGATCAGTCCTACATTGATTTTAATTTTATTGCCGGCAGAGGCGTAGCGGACGGGCATGCACCGTGGGGGGGGCCTGCGTGATTAGGGGGCCCCACGTCGTCGCGATTTTCAATAATTGAAAATCCCGCAACCGCAATAATCAAACTCTTGGGAACAACTGTGGTCGGAACCAAAGTTCACAGGTCTGTGTTCTCTGAACTCCTCTCAAGCGGTGGACTACTTCATTCTGATTGCTTGCCGCCGAACCGCGTCATAGCTCATACCATAAAGTTGACTTGATTTCAACTCTCCTCGACGGCCACACAAGAGAAGACGCGCAGCGCTGTTCCTCGCCGCCGGTTCTCGTTAAAAATGAATGACTTCTGGCTAATTTGACGCTCTCGCCGCTTTTGGTTTGTGATCGCTCCTCAGTTTGTGAAGGCCCTGCGTTGTCGCTCCGCCCCGCCCCCTTTCCCGCTCCTCAGTTCGTGAAGGCCCTGCGTTGTCGCTCCGCCCTGCCCCCTTTCCCGCTCCTCAGTTTGTGAAGACCCCGCGTTGTCGCTCCACCCCGCCCCCTTTCCCGCTCCTCACTTTGTGATCGCTCCTCGGTTTGTGAAGGCTTCCCTGCGTTGTTGCTGCACCCCCCCTCAACCCTCCGCATTTTGCGCTACGCCACTGCGCAGAGGTCCAGAGAGAGAGGAAGTCCTGCATTGTCTTTTATGTTTAGAAAAGCTTGCAAGTGCTAGCATGTAACCCTTAAAACTTAAACGGCTCCTGACAACAAACATTCTGCATATGCCAACAAAGGTTGATCATATTCTCTTCTGAAAGATTATCTTCACCAACAAAAAATGATCCCAGTTACAGCCAGCATCCCACAAAAAGCACTTCGAGCCTCATTTTGTGCATATCAAATCGCAAAATCCAAAAAGCCACACACCATATATTTTTGACTGCTTTGAATGGAAACATGTTTTACCCATTTTTCCATATTAAAATATTATGGTCGGTCTTGAGATTGAATTACTTACCTAGGTGGGTCCCGGATTGAAAAAGTTTGGGAACCCTTGAGCTAGTGTATATAGTTAAAATCATGTGATGTATTCAAACTATGTAAAATTTTACAGTGGTTTAAATGATTTTATCGGTGATTTCGTTATTACTGTATTTAGTTTTTCATAATAAGAGTTGTGTTCTGTTTTGAACACGGCTGATTCATTCTTTATGTGTTGTTTTTGCTCTCATTTCTTTAATCTTTGTTTCCAGCTACTATAATTTGGACGACATCAGCCATGAAACCATTAATAAATACCTGTCAAACCTGGTGGAGAGGAGTCTGAGGGATCTGGAATGTTCCTACTGCATGGAGATACAACAGGTAGAGCTACTCCATTCACATCATGGGGTGTCCTGGAGGGTCGGTGTCCGGCAGATTTGAGTTCCCACTTTCCTCAACACACCTGCATGGATGTTTCTAGAAAGCCTAGTAAGAGCTTGATTAGCTAGCCCAGGTGTGTCTGATTGGGGTTGGAGCTAAACTTTGCAGGACACCGGCCCTCCGGGACCGAGTTTGGACATGCCTGATTTACATGTCCACGTATTTATCAGTGGTCAACCCGGTACTAGTAAGATGTACCTAATAAAGTGGCCAGTGAGTGTATGTTAAATGTGTTTATAATGCAATTAAAACGCTTTTATAGTGTCTGTGTGTTGTGATGTTTGCGTATGGCTTCACTTTGTGTTATAAATATAGACTTTGTACTATGAAGCTCATGTAAATGTCCTGAAGAAAGAATGTCATCTTTGACCTGCCCCCCACTGTACGCCTGTATTTTGACCTCCGTCATGTTAATCAGTGACCGTCTGTGTTTTATTTTATGTGTCTAGGACGAGCAAACCATCGAGCCCCTGACATACGGCCGCATTTCATCCTATTATTACCTGAAACACCAGACCATCCGCATGTTCAAAGAGCGCCTGAAGCCCGAGCTGCCGGTCCACGAGTTGCTGGCCATCCTGTCGGTGAGCAAACATTCATTTTTAATGCATCTTCATCCAGTGTCTGCGGTCATCTTCTGCTCACCGAGGCGTTCAGTGCACTTTAATCACCAATGCATCACCACCTTCACCGGCCAGCATCCTGACCCTGTTAATGATTAGTGCATGAGCAGAGCTGCGGAGTGAAGCTTTACATTTACTCCAGGCTTGTCATGCTCCTTGATTTAAACCGGCCTTAATTTTACTCATAGTTTAGTGCATATACGTATACTGTTTTTTAATTGGATGCTATCGTATGCTATATTTGTGCATATACATTAGATTAGTCAGTGCTTTAAGCCAAATATGGAGCTAATCTAAGAAAATAATGTGCTGTGACGGTCCAAAAGTTGGCCAAATTTATCAATTAGGGAAAAAGAATAAATACAAATGTTAAATAAAGGAAAAAACGTCTTTGCCAAGAGAACATTTCCTTTGCATCTCAGTGAATATAGCTAATGCATTTCGGGGCAAACTGATAAACGGATATATTTATTAAAATTTAGTCAACAAAGATCTTTAGAAAACCAAATAATACACACTTAAATTCAAGCAAATATTGCAAAGAAAAATGCAAAATTTAGACAAAATATTCACACACACACACACGTTTGTTTTTGTGAAAAGTGGGGACATAACATAGGTTTCCATTCATTTTATACTGTTCAGACCGTATATTGTATTGCCCTCACCACACCCCACCCCTAAACCCAACCATCACAGGAGACTGTGTGCAGCTTTACTCTCTGATTAAACTCATTCTGTAGGATTTGTAAGCATTTTGAGAAATGAAGACGTCACCAATGTCCTCATATTTTGTATCAATCACCTTCTTTTTGTAATACCTGTGTCATACCCATGTCATTATCCGCTTGAGCGGCTTCCGGGTCCAATTCAACTGAATGGGGAGACTCATGAAATGGTAATAATAAACGTTTACAAAGCCATTTAATGCTTTCACGATGGCAGTATATATGTCCTTGCCTAATAACCGATGGCCAGAAAGTGATACATTTTTTTTATAAATTGTTAAATTCATGGTATTTGTTATGCAGCAAGCCCAGAGATTGTTGTGTACACTATGACTTTATATAAAATTAACTGTAATGTGTGATCATAAACAAATGATTTCTCCACTCAAATGAATGGCGGCTTGGACGCGGAAACAGTATACATACTTCACAAACACGTCACCGCTTAACAAGCGGATACAGATTTGTGTCCTGATATGTCACACACACACACACGCACACACACACACACACACACACACACACACACACACACACACGCACAGATATATACAGTTGAAGTCAGAGTTATTCTCCCCCTTTACATTTTTTTCTTTTTAAAATATTTTCTAAATGATGTTTTGGAAATGTTCATAGTATGTCTGATAATATTTTATCTTCTGGAGAAAGTCTTATTTGTTTGATTTTGGCTAGAATAAAAGCAGGTTTAAAATTTTTAAAAGCCATTTTAAGGAAAATATTTGTCCTTATTATTATTTGTCCAAAAAAAAAAAAGTTTTTTAATAACCCTAATAACCCTTTAAGCTATTTTTTTTTTTGGACTGTCTACAGAACAAACCATCATTATACAACAACTTGCCTAATTACCCTAACCTGCCTAGTTAACCTAATTAGCCTACTTAAGACTGCAAAATATCTAGTCTAATATTATTTACTGTCATCATGGCAAATATAAAATAAATCAGTTATTAGAGATGAGTTATTAAAACTATTAAATTCTCAGATTAGGTCAGTCTGAGATTATGGGCGGGGCTAACATACTTAACAACGCCCCCTCCAGCTGTCATCGCTATGACAACAAACATAAATGGTGAGGAGGAGGAGTCTATTAGGTTGTAAAACTCTCCCCAAACCTTTTCCCCATATCTCTGAATGAAATGCCTACTTTACTGCATCCAATCAGCTCGCAGTAGGAAAAACAAGCCACGCCCACTTTTTATTATTTAATATTCCTTTTTTAGGAACTGCATCGCAATACGAAAACAGTGGTTGCAGCGTCCTGTTCATCCAGACTTTAATTTAAACATAATTTTACTTGCAATTGAATACCATTTCTGCCTACTCTGCCCACTTCTGTGCTTGAGTCCAGTTTGCCACACACACACACACACACACATAATTGCCCCCTGAAGGGTTGGTGTGAAAATGATCAGCTCTTTACATTCGCCTCATTAGAAAAAAAGCCCCGCTCTCACCGATCGCCAGCATAATTGAGACATAAAGGCTTTTCACACTTCAGTGACATGACATCTGTCTCATTGTGGAGCCGCTGCACAACGGATGGAAACATTGCCGAAAACGTCCCCTTAAATAGTTTTATAACCGCTCCTGCTGGACGATCACGTCTCCAGAATGGGCTGTAAATTAGTGTCTTAATTGCACTTAATTTTAAGCACAACGTTAGTTTTTAATTAGGCTAAATCTGAATTGGTGTCAGCCATTCTGTCTGTTTGTTGTTATTGTGTTTCCACTTATTTGTTGTTGCTCCAAAATTAAGTTTAAGTTTATGAATATTGAAGTTTTAGCACTTTGCTGAGCCGTTGCTGAGGAATAAACAAATTTGCATTATTTAGTTTCAATTCTTTTTATGGATACAAAATTTATCATGACTTGTCATTCTTAACTATATTATATTATATTATATTATATTATATTATATTACATTGCATTATATTATATTATATTATAATAAAAAATGAATAAAAATAAATAAATGCTGGAA